GCTATGGTTATCTCATACTAGTGGTGGTTATTTGATTTAGGATGAGGGTGGGAAAAAAAACACACTAACATTTCTGTTTGGTTTCCATTCTGTTTTGTGTGCAGCAATCTTGTTTGCATTACAGGTACTTACCCCCTGACCATTGCTCAGGACTCAGTGGCAATTCAAACTAAAAGTCAGAGAGCATGTGGAATAAATCCTGCTCAAATTGAAGTTGATGCCTGAGAGGGCATCATGTTCTCAGAAGGTTAAATGGAAGGCCTGTTACTATATTTTTGCATTTTTGAAACCAGAAATAGAGATTGGATTGGACTAGAAAACTCCTATAATGCCCTTAGGGCTTGACATTCTGTGAGCAGGTGACACAACTACAGAAGTTCCAGTAGCAAGTTTTCTGCTACAGGATTGATTTAAAATTTAAAAATATACGTTATTTTTAGTTTGACCCAGTTTCTTTTCAGGTTGTGACTGAACTGTCTTTCTTCCATACTCTACCTTTTCCGACTACACTCCTTGGATTGTATGTAACTTGAGTCTGGAGAACCAGTCAACTGCTTCCTTGCCATTTCTGCTCGCACAGCCTCCCTGTGCACAGAGGAGAGGGCTGTCCCCAGTCAGCCAGGTTTCATACTCACAACCACTGACCTTATAAAGAAGCACATCTTCCCTCTTAACTCCTAGTTTAGAATAGGGGACTGTGTGACAGCAGAGAGCAGACAGTTTACATTTTAATTCTCTCAAGCTCAGATTGTTTTTTCTGATGGAACAAGTTGGGGGAAGTAAGGTGGAGGGAGGACAGAGGGAGTTACTGGATTTCACTTATCTTATCATTTGTTTCCCTCTGGATTGCCTTTGTTTATGCTGTCTCTTCAGGCCAGGAATTCCTCCAACAGAAAGCATGCATACACTCGGGAATATTCAGATTAGGGCTTCCTTCTTCTCTGCTCCATTTGCTGACTTGGCTCTTCTCTCTATAGCCTGATATGAAAGGAGGGCTGGAGATACTTAACCTGCTTTTAGTTCTTGTGTTATATGGGAAAGAGATCTTCAAACAGTGACTTGGGGCAAACATGTTAGTGATTTTTGTGATGGAGAAAGAGGATGTTGAGTAGTTTTAAGTTTAACATCTACCTATGACTTATGCTGATGGAGAGTTTGCCACAAACACCTTGAATGAAATCCCTTCATCTTTGATTGCTACTTTGCAATGGCACAGAGGAAAAAGGAAAATAAATTGAATTTAGGTTGAGATTTGGGTAATCTGAGCAATTCCTTTATATATCCCGAGTCTGTTTCCTCATTTGTGAAACAATGTGAAAATTCTAAAATTTTATGCAAATAGTATTCTCTCAAACTAATGACCTCATGTATATGGCATTGTATAATACTGATGTAATAGTCACTGGGTTTCCTGGTGATGGAGATCAGTGAAGGGGAACCTTTATTTTTTCACTTTGAGAGTTTCCAACACTGCCCCCTGCTCTTAACGCAGTGTACCTGAGACCCTGTGCTTGGCTGGAGCTAAATCCTCCAGATCTGATCCTTAGTCTCTTATTTTTACTGAACAGTTTCTAGTCGTATTTCCAGGAGCTCAAGAAGTTCCATAAGATATAGGAATGAGGCTAGAAATGTCCTTGGTTTATCATCCAGTTCTGTTTAAATTGATAATCTCTTTAAACCAGAGTGTGACTACCAGTGGTACACAGAATAGATGTAGCCAGCTGTCTTTTTTTTTTGGTTTGGCCAGCACATTGTTATTTTTTAAAATAGAATGATTTTAGTGAGCATTTACACTCTGATTTGTCACAGACCTCACCACACCCTAGTGCCTTATACACAGCCACTTTGTTTATGTGATATTTCTTTACCTCCTTAGCCCTTGAAGGCATTTGAATTTGTGATCCCTATGTTAAACTAAGTTAAATTATAATGAGAGTCTGGCAAATGATCCAGTTCGGGGATTCTCAACCTCAGCACCATTGGTGTTTTGAATGGGAGGATTCTTTGTTGCGGATGTCCATGTGCTGGGCTCTGTAGGGTGTTTAGAAGTATCGTTGGCCTCTATCCACTAGATGCCACTAGCAACCTTTTCTCCAGTTGTCACAACCAAAAAAAATGTCTCCAGGCATTTCCAAATGTCCCCTGCGAAGCAAGGTTGGCCCTGGTTGAGAGTCATTTGATAGATTTCAGTTGGCCTGAGAACTTTAAACATTGGGACCAGGCTTACATATTTAGGGATAAATTGGAATTCATCTGGGAAACCAAGCTACCCTGCTGTTTTTATTTATTTGGGCAGTTGGTTAGAGTGAAGTAAAGGTCACTGGATTAAACCCTTTGGGGTCACTTCTCCATTCTTCCATGACCACTGCCGGGGAGGCCAGCCACCTTTGTAGGACATGTCCTTGGTTACAACAGGGGACTCTGAGACACTGATGCTGGGTCAGGGCAAGCCCACTGGTGCTAGTGGGTAAACAACTTTGAAGCCCATAGTCTGTGTTGGTAGGTCAGTAATGTTATATGTGGATAAGGAAGATGAGGCTTTGGGGAAAGAAAAGGTCAGCTCTGTCATTACAGTCAAAGGCCAAAATGCTTTAAAAAAGCACGGGAAGGGGGATGTTTCAGCCTTTAAAAATGACAGCTTATCTCAAATCAGTAATGTGGGAAGAGCTCTGAAAAGGATTAACAGAGTGATGTACCTTTTTATTCTCTCCTTCAAACAAGAATGTGTTTAAAATTTAGGCTTAGCAATGCTCAAACTTACCTTTCCTCTCAGAAAAACATTGATAAGATTTCCAGTGTACAAAGGGAGAATGTTGTGAACTTTTAAACAACTTGAGCTTAGTTCTTGAGTAACTAAGGTGAAGATAATGCTTGGGGAAGCACACAGTTTCAGTTAAAACGTAAACCAGAGTCCCTTCTCAGTGAGAGAGGTGGGACTTTTGCAGGGATCCTTGCCTCTTCCTGCAGGCTGTGTGTTATTTTTCTGTCATGCCTGGGCATCAAATTTCTCCATGGTGGGTTTAAAAAAGAAATGCCTAGGAATTCTGATTTGGTAGATCTGGGGTTGGAGCCCAATCCCTAGGATCTTAAAACTCTCTAGGTAATTCTGATATTTAGTTAGGCCAGAAAACATGTGGGAAGAACAAAAGATCTTGCATTTGGGGAATGTGGTTATAGCTGTAAAAGTGACAGAAAACATGTGGGAAGAACAAAAGATCTTGCATTTGGGGAATGTGGTTATAGCTGTAAAAGTGTCCTGGGCCTGGCTCGTTGGCTGGTTAATTGTCCATTTTGGTGTGAATATTTTTTTACCTTTCTAGAATTTGAGTTTGTAGAAAGGATAGGTCTTTTTTTTTTTTTTACATGTAGTGTAGTGTGCATTACCTAATTCATGGAAACTAATGTTTCTAATAATCTTGAAGCTTTATTATATCTTGGCAGGCTTTACTGATAATTTGTGGAAGTCATTCTCTCCTTTTCAGATGCTTTCCTGGGAGGATCAGTTTGCATATTAACCTATTGTTTAAAAGAAAAGGAAACAAGCCACCCAATCATAAATGTCCCACACCACGAATGCCCTTGAGATAAAGTAGGTGGGAGAGTAGTAGTAAAAGCTCTTACTAGCTTCTATTCTAGGAAAATAACTTTCACAGCTAAGTTTACCTCAATGAATTTCTCATCAGACTCTGGCTGCAGAAACATGGGGTAGGTTGCTTTGTTGAAATTTCTGTCCTCGTCCTTGACCTATGCCAGGTGTCACCATTGGAGGACTCTAATGTCCCATAGCAGCAACCACCAAAAATGGAAATAGAATAAAATGGCTCTTCATACTTGGATTTTACTTAGAATTTCAGTTCCAGATTTCCATCAAACATAGCAAAGGCAAGGCAATAAAAATTTTAGGGGGAAATATACAGGACATTTTATGGACTAGCTCATAAGCCATAGAAGCAATACTTTAAAGCATCATTCATTCATCCATTTGGCATGTAAAAAATGTTTTAATATTGGGTATGAGCATTTCAGAATGCTGATTTAAATCCAGATTTTTTCTTTTGGAATACAGAATTCTTGGTTTGCTTAAAACTCAGTCATCCTCTGTTTTCAGCTTCTGAAGTAAACAAATTGCATTGTGCAGGTAAAAAGATTCTCTGCTTTCATTGGCATGTAGTTGCAGGTTTTGTTTATTTGATCATGTCTGTGTTTTTAAAGGAATATTCCCAGAACTGGTTATAGGAAGCAATTCTGTACAAGCTCAAATCAGTTTTTCCAATATTTATTCTGTCTGTAGATCAAATCTATCCTGGGTTCTGGTTCTCTTTTTCCCCCTAAGTGCTGATTTTGAGTCTTAATTGGCCAATATTTTCTAGTACTAGAGAAGAATTTGTTAGCATGCCTTGGTATTAAAGGAAGGATGACAGTTTAAAAGAAAGAATACAGACTTTCTTTTTAGGGGTGATGAAAATGTTTTAAAATTAGTGGTTATGGTTATATAGTTTGTAAATATATTAAAAACAACTAAGCTGTACATTTTAAACAGATGAATTTGGTGGCATGTGAGTATCTCACATACATATACCTCAATAAAGTTGTTACTTTTTTACAAAGGCTAAAAAGAATGAAATTAACTACAGTCTTAAAAAAAGAATTTTGGATCTTTTCCATTTCTTTTCTTCATGTACGTCTCAGTTTTTTCTCTAAATAAATAGATGTATAATATGGACAAAGACTAGTTGGGATAATTCCTTAATATTTATGGACCACCTGAGACATGGAAAACTTGGTTATAAAGACATTTTTGTTGTAATGGGATCTAATATTTTTTTCATACATCCTAATCAAAAGCAAGGATATTGAAGGATAGAAAGCTTTGTATTATTTTACATGGTATAAAATACACAAAAAAAGCTTTTGTACTGTGATGATAAGCTAAGGTTTTGCTGATATGTTTGGCTTAGTCACAATTTGCTTTAAACTTGTTCCATTTGATTATTTTGCAGGATTTTTCTGCTGTAGAAGCCTTCACACTGTAAAAAGCACTCAAGTATGTAATCTTGCCTATAAAGCTAACTGTGTGTGTTGAAAAAGGAATATTTCATTTATAAGGGATTATGTAGCTCAGGGTTTCTCAAATTTGGATTCATGATCCTTTGAGAAACACTAAGTTAAACTGCTGAATGTTTAGGTATTCATCTGGTGCCAATGGGATAATAAATTCATGTGCAGAAGTAAACTTTGAGGTACTGTGGTACTGTTCAAGTATAAGATACTTATCCAGGCATATTAGTTTTATTGCTGCATAGTGAATTACCACAAATTTAGTGGTTTACAGCCCCACCAGGTCAGAAGTTTGGGCTAGTTCTCCATTCATGGTCTCACCAAGGTTAAATTCACCTGTCGGCCACTGTAGTTCTCATCTGAATCTTGGGGGCTTCTTCCAAACTCACTGGTTGTTTATTTCCTTGTGGCTATAGGACTGAGGACAACTGGCTGTTGGCCAGGGACTGCTTTTTGCTCTTATAGGCCGTCCACATTCCATGCCGCATGGTCCATATTGGTAGTTCACATGTGGATGTTTGCTTTTTTCCAGACTAACTGGAACACAGCTCTCTGACTTGGCTTTTCTGCAACCAGGCAGAGAAAAGGGTAATTTTAAGGTCTCACCTGATTAGGTCATATCCAGGATAATATTTTCCCTTTGACCATATAATGTAACATAATCATGAGAGTGATATATCATCATATTCATAGGATCCACTCACTCTCAAACAGTAATGGGATGGGTGTTACTTAAAGTCCTGCCTATTTTACTATATAATAGAAATTATGACATTGTATTATTGATGATTATTAAGATGAAACCCCAAATGCAAAAATGGATGATACCTCACAAATATGCCTTAGGACCCTCTGTCTTCCTAAAATGTCTCTCCCTCAGATTTATTGTTTTCCAATCCTACTTTTCTTGTTTCAAATAGAGTGAAAATAATTTTTAAAAGTTTGTTATTGAAAATTTCTTACACACATACACATACACATGTAGAATGACAGATACAGCTAGTATAAGAATCCTACATATAACCATAGCTTCACCCGTTACTAATTCATGAGGAATCTTTCAATTCTACCCCCAACTACTGTCCACCAACTCTGGGATTATTGTAAAGCCAGTCCCAGACATTTTATAATTTTTCATTTGGAAATATTTTAATACTTATGTCCAAAAAAATCAGGGCTCTCTTTAAAAACAACACTAAAATGCCTTTATCATACCTAAAATAACATATTTCCTTAACATTACCAAACATCTGATCATTTTTCAGATTTATCCTTGGTTTTTTAAAAAGATTGTTTGTGCAACTCATGATTCCAATAAGGCTCATATATTGTCACTTTTTATATGCCCATTTAGTTTCTCTGCATCCCGTGTAGCATTTTTCTTTGCAGCTTACTTGGGGAAAAAACTGGATTGTTTGTCCCATAGAATTTCTCACAGTCTCTACCTCATGGTACGACATCTCTGTTTCCTATAAATTATTTAAGACAAGAATAATTGATGCTATAGACCTATCTGGTCACTAGAGGTAGAATTATAGGTATAATTTACTAGATCTATGAGTGTATAGATGTTTAGAAAAATATTTGGGAGTAGAGCAAGAATGTTAGGTTTTCTAGACTCCTATTATTGAGAGCAGTCTAAGTGTTATATACTTACAGTTTGTGAAAGAGTGCAGTTTAAATTCGTAAAATTCTTAGAGGAAATATACAACACACAGATTTATTAAACAATACTTGAATTTGTTTAGTTCTTTGGCCTAAGTGTTTTTGTTAAATGAGTTTTAGCTTCCATAAAGGAAAAAAAAAATGCTCAAGGAGAAAGGTATTTCAGTTTTGAGTTTTAGAAAATAACCAGAATTTTAAAATTATGAAATAATTACTTTTTTTTATAATAGATTTTTGCTAGTTATTATCTATCTGTAAGCTCTCCAAAGACATGTCCTCTGTCCTTAAAAAACATGATGTATATTTTTAAATCCTCACCATTGGAATATTCTATTTTAAAAAATGCAACACGATATTGTTTTAAGAGAACAATTTCATATGACTTCCATTGAAACAAAGTTGGAGAGGTTACCTAACTTAAGTTTTGCTTTAGAGGAAAGTATAGGGTTCAGGTAAGTAAAAGCTTAATTAAGAGGATAATAATTTATAATAGGGATACAGAACTTTTTCTGTAAATGTCCAGATGGTTAGTATTTTAGGCTTTGTAGGTTATGCTGTCTCTGTTGTCATTCAATTCTGCCCTTGTTGTAGGAAAAGCAGCCATAGATAATATGTAAACAGATGGGTGTAGCCAGCTGGGAAGAACTGACATCACTGACGTTTTGACAATATTGAGTCTTCTTGTCCATGAACATGGAATAGCTCTCCATTTATTTAATTTTTTTATTTTGTTCATTAGTTTTGTAGTTTTCCTCATATCAATCTTGTACATATTTTGTTAGATTTATACCTAAGTATTTCACTTTTGGAGGTGCTAATGTAAATGGTATTGTGTTTTTAATTTCAAATTCCTCTTATTCATTGTTGGTATATAGGAGAGCAATCAACTTTTATTATTAACTTTGTGTCAGCAACCTAGTTTTTTTAAGATAGTCTTTATCAAGTTGAGAAAGTTCTCCACCATTCCTAGTTTACTGAGAGTTTTATGAATGACTGTTAGATTTTATCAAATACTTTTTCTGCATTTGTTGATATGGTCATATGATTTGCTTGCCTGGGATGGATCCCCCTTGATTGTGTTGTATAATTCTTTTTATACATTGTTAGATTCAATTTGCTAATATTTTGTGGAGGATCTTTGCATGTATATTCATGGGACATATTGGCCTAGAGTTTGTTTTTTTTTCTTCTTGTAATATTTTTGTCTGGTTTTGCTGTTAGTCTAATGCTCACCTCACTGATGAGTTAGGAAGCTTTTCCTCTGCTTATATCCACTGAAAGGGTTTGCAAAGAGTTCCTATAATTTCTTCCTTAAGTGATTGGTGAAATTCACCAGTGAATCCTTATGGACCTAGTGTTTTCTGTTTTAGAAAGTTATTAATTATTGAGCTCTCTGTTTTTATTACTGTTATGGACTGTAAGCACAAACTGATATGTTTATGGATAGTTGACGGTAAAGAATAATTTTCAAAGAGTTTAAAAATGAGATTATAAAATAAGCACAACAATTTTATTTAACTTATTAATTAGTGAAGGAACCAGTAAGATGTTAAGACCAGTTCAAAGGAGAAGTTGAAGACCAGATACATGTCTGTCCTTCCATCTATCCATCAATCCATCACAATCAGAAATGCCTAAATAAATTTGGTAGTAGATACAAAACTGGTTAATACCCTAACGGGCTATAAAATGTAATGTTTTCTTTTCTACATGTAAAATCAGTTGTATCTCTACCAGAAAAATCCATTTGCTTTGCTATAGATAAGAGCCATTATATTGCTGTGTGTTTTTTACAAATTAATTTCTATCCCTCAAGAGCTGTGAAATAGTCTGGCCCAACAGGTTCTCAAACTTTTTTATTTCAGGACACTTTGAGCTTATAAATATTAAACTGATAAAAGAAACTTGTTTGTTTAATGTATCAATCAGATTAGAAATCAGAATTGAGAAGATTTTTTTCTTTCTTAAACAAAAGAGAAAACAGTAGTGAAACCTATTTCATGTTGTCATCTGGGTGATGACTTCATCATGAGTATTGAAACTTTCAGAAAATTACACTATATACTCTTTGAGAGAATGAGAGAAAATGGCAAATGACATCTTAATATCATCATGAAAATAGTTTCAAACTCATAAGTACCCTGACAAGGTCTGAGGCTCCCCAGAGCTTCGCAAACCATACTTTGAGAACCATTGGCCTAGTTAAAAGAACAAAAAGTCAAAGATAGTCTCCAGAGGATCTGCTAGAACACAAAAGATACCCAGTGGTCTCTTTTGCTCATTTCTAAACCTTGGGTTTTTTTCTAACACTAATCCCTTCCTTGATAAATGTTGTCCTGCCCAACATGGGGAATTTTCAAGGCTATTCTGAAACTATTAAGTCAGAAATTTATTTCATTTTTTAATATAAAATGAATACAAGTTACTATATGAAAAAATAGGAAAGTATAAAGCAGTAGAGACAAATCTTACAAAGGAGATAAATAATGTTAACATGGGAAAATATCTTTATGAAAAGATTAAAAAATATTTTTGATTATTATCTGTACTCTTGCATCCTCCCTCTAAATGTTTTCACAAGCACTTTTCAGGCTATTAAAACTTTTTTAATTTTAGTGAAAACATAAAATTTGCCATCTTAACCATTTTTACATATGTAATTCAGCTCTGTTAAGTATATTTACATTGTTGTGACACAGATCTCCAGACCTTTTCATCTTGTAGAACTGAAAGTCTATACCAATTAAACAACTCCCCTTTGCACTCTCTCCCTATCCCCTCATAACAGTCATTATATTATGTTTATCTGTGAATTTGACTACTTTAGATACGTTATGTAAGTGTAACCAAACAGTATTTGTCCTTTTGTGGCTGGCTTATTTCACTTAGTGTAAGTCGCCAAGGTTCATCCACTTTGTAGCTTGTAACAGGATTTCCCTTCCTTTTTGAAGCTACATAGTATTTCACTGTATTTGTATTCTACATTTTTGTTTATCCATTTACCTACTGATGAACATTTGGATTGCTTCCCCCACTTATTATTTTTTTTATTAAGGTATCATTGATATACAACCTTATGAAGGTTTCACATGAGCAACACTGTGGTTACTACATTCACCCATATTATCAAGTCCCCCCCACCCCACACACCCCATTGCAGTCACTGTCCATCAGTGTAGTAAGCTGCTATACAGTCACAGCTTGTCTTCTCTGTGCTATATTGCATTCCTGTGACTCCCCCTATATTATGTGTGTTAATCATAATGCCCTTTAATCTCCTTATCCTTACCTCCCCACCCACCCTCCCAACTCTCTTCCCTT